TCTCTTCCTCCTGCTCCAGCCATGTAACATGTACCTGTTTCCCCTCCGCCTTCCAACAGGATTGCAAGTTTCCTGAAGCGTCCCCAGAAGCAGAAGCCACTAAGCTTCCTGTACAGCTTGCAGCATCAGAAGCCAATTAAACCTCTTTTCTTTATAAATTACCCAGTCTCAGTTATTTCTTTATAGCAATGTGAGAATGGATTAATACAGGGGTTATACAGGCCTCATAAAACAAATTCAAAATTGTTTTGTTTTCTAATTTTTGAAAGAAGCTCTGTAGAGTTTAATATTATCTTTAACCTACACATTTGATGTAATTTTCCATTGGAGCAACCAGGAGTTAGTGTTTTCTTTTTGGTAACATTTATGATTACCAATTCACTTTAATAAATATGGAGCTTTTTTCATGTACTGTATTCTGCATTTTTGACAAGTTGTGTTTCAAAAGGCATTTGTCCATCTAAGTTATTCGATTATTGGCATAAAGTTGTTCGTAACATGCACTTATTATCTTTAATATTAACAGGCTATAACGTCCTTTCTATTCTCAACATTAGTAATTTGTGCTTCCTCTTTTTAACTTGATAAGTTTGTTTCCTAGGCTGCTATAACATCAACTAGATAGCTTGAAACGAGAGAAATTTATTCTCACAGTTGTGTAGACTAGAAGTCTGAAATCAAGGCTTCCTCTCAACACTCTAAAGAAGGGATCTTCTTTGTCTCTTCCTTACTTCTGGTTGCAGGCAATCTTTGGCTTAAAGTTGGCATCACTCCAATGTCTGCCTTTATTTTCACATGGACTTTGTATCTCTGCCAATGCCTTCTTATAAGGAAACTAGTCATTGAATTTCGGGATACCCTAACCTAGTACGATTTTATCATAACTAATTACATCTGCAAAGACCCTACTTTGAAATAAGGTCACATCTGAAATTTCAAGTGAACATGAATTTTGGAGGGATATTATTCACCCCAGTATATATGTCTTACCAGGTGTTTATCAATCTTATTTCAAAAAAACTCCCTTTCGACTTGATTTTGTGTGTTAATTTCCATCAACTTTGAAAAAGTTCTTAGTAAATATCTCTTCAAATATTTGTTCTGTATCATTCTTTCAATCTTCCCCTTCTGAGACTCAATTACAGGGATGGTAGGCCATTTCACTTTCCTTCAAATTACACACATTCTATAATTTTACTCATTCTATAATTACAATTACTAAAATTATACTCATTCTATAATTTTTTCTTTGCTTTTCCATTTGTATACTCTCAATTGCTTTGTCTTTATTGATCTTTTCCTCTGTGTACTCTTAGATCATATTCATTTCTAGATTTCTGTGTTTTGTTGTTGTTTCCATATTTCTGCTGAAATTCTGTATCTCTTCATGTATGTTTTCCACTTTGTTTTACTAGATCTTTAGGCACTTTTATCGTCATGACCACCCTCTGATAATGCAAACATATGACAATTTCAATTTGCTTTTATTGACTGATTCCTCTCTGGATAAAACTTTTTTCCTCCTATGCGTGTCTCATATATATATATGATATATATATGATATAATATATATTTTTTACTGTGTGCTGTGTATTTTTTATAAAAGGTAAGTATGAACAGAAGTAATAGTTAACACCAGAAAACGGCATGCTCCTATTGTTAGGTTCAGAGTTTGACACTGAATCAATCTGATGTACAGTTGACAGCAGTTGGGCTTTGTTGCAGCTGTAGTTTGATTAACTTCCTCCCTCCTTTCAATTATATATACAAAATTGTATTATATATGTGTATTACATGCACACACACACACACACATATATGAGACAAGGTCTCACTCTGTTGTCCAGACTGGAGTGCAGTGGTGTGATAATAGCCCTGGATGAAGTGATCCTCCTGCCTCAGCCTCCCAGGTAGGTAGGACAGCATGCATACACCACCATGTCATGCTAATTTTTAGTATTTTTTTGTAGAGATGCGGGTCTTGCTATGTTGCCCAGGCTGGTCTCTAACTCCTGGCCTCAAGCAATCCTCCTGCCTTGGCTTCCCAAAGCACTGGAATTACAGGTATGAGCCACTGTGATTGGCCATTTCAGATATTTTGAGTGGACAAAGTTTTAACAGAAAATTTGGATATGAGCACTGGCGAGATTCTAGTGTTTTTTTGGTTTTTGTTTTGTTTTGTTTTGTTTTGCTTTTCAGCTGAGCTGCCAGTTTTTGAAAGAACAGATTTTTCTTTGCACTAATCACAATAGTGTATTTTTGAATTTCTGGGGCATTTTACTTGTAATCTATTGATGTACTTGGCTTTCTGTGCCTCAGGTGAACTCTCAGTCATATTATCATTCCCTTTGGAGGACACAGTTCTTAGACCATAATGCCTCAGAATGACTTCCTTTGTTCCAGGTCTGTTATTTTTCTTAGTTTCCTAATAAATGAGCACACCCTTTCTAAAATCAGCACAGTGGTTGTTTAAAACCAAGAAATATTTCCAACACTAGACTTACAAGGGTACTAAAACAAGTCACTATTTGCTGAACTTTCATTTTGCAGCAAGTCTCTACTGGACAATGAAAGATAAAAGTTACCTTCCTTTTTCACAAATTCATTGAGCACTTAAAATATATGACATCTTACCACAAAATACAGTATAATCTTAGTCCTTCTACCTTGTGATTCCCCATCTTTTTTTTTTTTTTTTTTTGAGACAAAGTCTTGCTCTGTGGCCCAGGCTGGAATGCAATGGCATGATCTCAGTTCACTGCAACCTCCACCTCCCAGGTTCAAGTGATTCTTCCGCCTCAGCCTCCCGAGTAGCTGGGATTACAGGCACACACCACCAGGCCTAGCTAATTTTTGTATCTGTAGTAGAGACAGGGTTTCACCATGTTGGCCAGACTGGTCTTGAATTCCAGACCTCAGGCGATCTGCCCACCTTGGCCTACCAAAGTGCTGGGACTACAGGTGTGAGTCACCGTGCCCAGCCGATTCCACTATCTCTTACAAGCTTGTAATCAGTATCCAATTGGTACAAAGAGAAAAAACTGGGAGAAAGCATTATGAATTCTCAAAACCTTAAAAACAGAAATACATCCATTCCACTTTCTAAAATTCAGTTTTGCACCTACATCTAACTGCATGTGAGGCTAGGAAATATAGTCTTGCAGTATACCCAGGACAAAAAGGAAACAGATTTTTCACTATCAGTTCACAGTATCTGCCAATTTTGTTAGCTTAAGACCTCTTACTTTAAAAGTTAAATATTCAACTCAAAAATGTTGATGGAATTGAAGAGAAATGCCTTATCTGTTCAATCAAGCTACTGTATCTGACAATGGAGGCAAGGTATATTTTGATGGTCAGTATGACTGTCTTCTGTCACTTCAGCATTACAGTTAGGGATAAACACACATTCCAAATTCTCTTATAATCCCTCCACAAAGCTACAGCAGTATCCCCTTATCAGTAGGGATATATTCCAAGATCTCCCGTGGATTATCTGAAACTATAGATAGTACTAAACCCTCTATATACTGTTTTTCCCTACACACACACATATATATATATACCTATGATAAAGTTTAATATATATGAGATAAAGTTTAACATATATATTAGGCATAGTAAGACATGAACAACAATAATAAAATAGAACAATTATAATAATATGCCAGCATACTACTCTTGTGCTTTGGGGCATTAAATAAAATATGGGCTACTTGAACACAAGCACCGAGATACTGCAACAGTCCATCTGATAACTGATGGCTACAAAGTGACTAATGAATGGGTAGTGTCTACAGCATAGATATGCAGAAAAAAGAGATGATTTACATCCTGGGCAGCAGGGAAATAAGATTTCATCACACTACTCTGAAGAGCCTATAATTTGAATTTATGAATTATTTCTGAAATTATCTTATTTTCAAACCATGACTGACTGCAAATAACTCAAAATGCAAAAAGCTAAGCCACGAATAATGCAAGCCAACTGTATTAACATTTTTAGCCTATGTTATTTCTAAGGGTAAAAGTTAACTAATGGGATTCAAATATTATCAAAGTATTTTTTTTTGTCTTAAAACAATTTATTTAATATGTTGGTATGTATCGCTAAGCCTCATGTTCTAGGAATGGACAAAGTCCATGTTTTTCCCTGAGCCACCTTCCCCATACAAATTTTATAATTTTATAAACATTGACTCTGTCAATTTCCTTCTCCCCATACTACGATGCTTCATAACTTAAATAATAGCTTCCCTGATACAGGAATCAGGACTAAGAAACATTTTGCAGGTGTGTTACACTGTGCTTTTCAAAGGCATGATACTTTTTCATGGTTTGTATCCAAATTATTTCTAGCAATGTCAGCATTTAGTCAATCAATACTTATGGAAATGTCTCCCAGGTTTACTGCTGTGTAATATAGGTATAGCATTTTATTCCCTTTCTGTCTTATCAGTCCAGAAGACTTCAGAAATATTATTTACTGATTCTTGTATCTAACAACTAATTTATAATTGAGGTCTCCATCACATAAGCATTATTCCTTGACTTGCTCCACCTGACAGTTTAAATGTTTTCTCACCATCTTTTCTTCTGGCCAGGGAACCATCTCTTCTAAAAAGATAAAAACCTGGTTAATTGTCTTCAAAGATTATTTTGCAAACCAGTCATCACTGGGCACTTTCCAAATGAGCATTTTTTTCTTTTTCATTTCATCAGGGATCTGTAAACTATTCTTTACCTGTACATACAGAGATCCAAGGAGAAACAATCCAATCATCTGCATAACCAGAAAAAATGAAAACATTGTTTTTGTAGATGCATGTATCACAATTATTTTGCATGTAGTTTAATTGCATTGCCAATTTTGTTCTTTAGAATTTGGGCTCTACAAAAGTTACATCCCATTAAAAAGGCTCAATATTTACCTGTTCAAGACTACTTTTACATGTAATTATAACTTGCTATAAACAAAAATCTAAGAAGCTCTTGACTACGGTTATGACTTTTGTTTGATATTAATCATATCTGCTGTTATTCCCAAACTTTTCAATGTTATACGAATACTAACCCTTGTTTTATATAAAATATGACTAAATTTACCTATAGGTACCTCTCTCCTTCATTGGTGATTACAGTCTCACACCAGAGACTAACCTTCATGAAACTACTGCAAGCATGTGTATGACAGACCAATCAGCTTAGTATCTGGCATTGTGACCAGAAAAAAAAAAAAAGAAAAAAAAATCATCACCTACAAAATCTCTTGGGCAAAACTTAAGCCATGAAAGAGCTCACACGAATCCAGGTCTACCTTCCAAGTAGATTCCAGAACAACAATAAAAAATTAAGACTATAAGAAATGATTTAATATGATAAAACTCCCATTTCAAAACCCAGTTCTAAAGGATTTACTGACCAATGCTGATTATTTAGTCACGGAAAATGTCTCTCATAAAAGTGCTCCTAACAAAATATGATCTACAATAATTTATAAAATGTGAAGGGCTGGATGTGCAGACTGATTGGTGCACGTCAGGTTGTTTCTCTTAAATGAGGTATAAAAAACTATGATATCATAGTCTTTCGACTTTATTTTCTAGGATAGAAAAGTATAGGCATAGGTGTTTTTAATAGTCTTCTTGACGATATCCTTTAAAATAATCTATCAAATGGCTTCTTTCATGTTTCCTGATTATCAGTATTCATCAATGTTACTGTCAGCCTTGATTAACTGGTTGAAAATTTCAGAGCAGAATAAGCAACTTCTGTGAACCTTTCCCCAATCCCTGAGAATCATAATCATTACAGAAATATTTTATCCTTTCATCAAATATCTCTGGAAAGTAGCCGTGTTCGTTCACTGTTAATAGGGCAAGGTGCAGTGTCATAGAGGGTTAATCCATGTAAATTGGCTTCCACCCGTAAAGAAATTTTCTGGAACAGAAAAGAAAATTATATATAGAAGTTTCCTCCTTAAAGAGAGATCACTCCTTCAATATGTTCTATAGGCTACCTTGTGATTACGAATGTAAATCAATTCTAATGGTAATAAGAGTGAGACAACTGTTTTACTGTCAAAGGTATCTTCTTTGTACCAATTAAAATCTGGAAAAACCAAGCTTCTGTATTCATAAAGTTCCTTGTTTTTCTTTAGTTTCTACTAAGAATCAGTATAATGTTGAGAATGACCTACGTAAAAGTACACAGAATCAATAAAAATTTCTATGTAAGAATTTCTGAAATTTATTTTATAGCCCCATTTTCAAGGCTAAATCTTGCTAGCAATACACTACTTCTTTAAACACAGAAACAATTTACCTGAAAAGTTACATCACTTGTTTATGATACCAAATCATAAACAGTTAATTTTCAAAAAGGCTGAGAGTTGCCTATGGAAAGTTCTCTTAGTCCACCTTCCTGGACTAAGAGAAGGAAGTCTCACTGAATAAAGCTAATACTGTTTTCTTACCTGAAAATCACGAATGTAAGTCAGGAAAAAACCAAAGAAGGAAAATGACATAGACCATTCTGCTGCGGTAGTGATCATGTGAAGCACATAACCCTGAGTCAGAGGAAAAAAACAACAGTTTTGTGAAATTTCATTTAAACGATCTATATACTATGTTTCAAATAAAAAACACACAATTCTTACAAAACAATGGAGCTTCTGAAAATCAACCCTTGACTTACCAGGCATATATCTCTAGAATTAAAGAGCCAGCATTAGGAAGTCCTCCTAAATGACACTCTATTTATTTCACTGGGAGCGAATAAAATTTCCACTTAAATAGCTAAGACAGAACAGGATCATTTTTACTCTACAAACGAGAAATTACTACTGCCTTACCCAAAGCCATAAGATTCATAATATGTGACTAAGAAAAGTTTAACAATGCTCAGAATAAACTTAGTAAGTGGTGTGTTTATGATATTAAATAATATATGGGTTACAATTGGGAAAATCTAGTAAATTATTTCATTCATTACCACAAACATGTCCAATTTGGGGTTAATTCTTAAATAAACCACCACCAAGTGGTTTGTGAAAACAGAGGAATTCAATTTATTCTTTAGTATATGTTCCCCTTCCTTTATTCTCAGGGTCCAAGATGCTATCTACATTCAGATATTGACAATACTGAAACCTAAATGCAGAGTCTATAATCAATTTCCAGATAACAAAAAGTGGGAGATGTCTTTTCAATTCAGAAAACAAGTATTGAAAACATAAATGATTATGGTTGGCTATATTATATACTATACCCACATTTAGGGGAGTCAATTTCTCAGAAAACTCTTTTGCCATCACAGTGCTCTTCATATTTTGACAATATCTACAGATCACAGGTAACAGGAGAATATAGAAGGTTCTACATAAACCCTACCATATCCAGAAAATAATTTTAATACAGAACTGATTATTCCACCAGAAGACTTTCATTGTTACTGATGAAATGAAAAACACATCAAGATCAATCAAAATAACCATCTTTAATATAAAACGAAGTTTTATAGACTATAAGTTCTTACTTTGTCCTCGGGGTTCCAATGGAGTTTCTGTTCTAAATCAGTCCCAAAATTGCCACTGTGCAAAATTGATGAGCAAGTCAGCACTATAAAAACATAAGTCAAGGAAGAATCTCAGAGAAGACCTCAGAGAACAAAGATAACTTTACAGTCTAAAAGGATTACTCACACATTTATTGCTAAGGTCTGAACCCATTTTCTTAAAGACTTAATGTTACACAGCAGTGGTACTGTAAAACAAAATGTGCTGCTCAGAGGGTTACAACAAAATGGTTCTCACAGTCAAATCCCACCTCTTTGTTCAGAAAATTAGCAGTTCTATCATAATCTTTAACTAAATAATGGTTCTCAGAGATGGCATTTACTCATCCCTCATTTCTTTAAAGTGAGTATGATCAGGCTCAACATTTTTGTTCCTAGCTCAATTACTGAAGTGCTATGTACAATCTGAATTTTATATTTCAAATTCTTTAGTTTAGGGTTCTGATCCTAAGAATCTCTCCTACAAAAAAAAAAAAAGAAAGAAAGAAAAAAAGGCTTCTTACACTGCACCAATAGTGTTCACTTAAATTTTGTCATTCAATTCCTTTCCAAGTGTAGTCACATTGTACAGTGAAGGATACTGCTAAATGCACTTACTCCACACCAGATAACCAACAATAGTCTGATCCAGAAGACTTGTTTGCCATGGATTTTGGGCTGCATTTGGTAGGAAAGGATGGTCTGAACAAACATATATAATGAGCCCATACCAAAGGTAAGCACAGCTCCACTTACATGTGCAGCAAAAAGGGCTGTTTTCTGAGAGATAGAGAGAAGAAATACGTCAATAAAAGAAAATCAGAACACATTGGCAACACAACATTTAAAAGCACAAGTCAGAGATTTCAATAGGACATTCACTGAGTAGAGCAGCTCAGCCAACTCTACAAACAAATTACTTTCTGAGGTAATTTTCTCTCACAATACTCAGCATAAACCTGAGGATTATAGTAATACCAAACTATTTCATACATCTCCACTGGAAATACAATAGGAACTATTCAATTATTATTTTCTTCATTTAATAATATGTTTACTTGGTGCCTATTAGGTGCTAGGCACTATTCTAAATCTTCAGATCCATTAGAGAACAAAACAGCAAAAATCCAGCTCTGAGTTTAGTAAAGATACACAAACAATAAATATAAACTTCAGAAATAAGGAAATTCCAGTGTGCCTCATGGTGATAAGTGTCATAGGAAAAGCACAGTGCAGTAAGAAAAGATTAGGATGGACTGCAGTGCTGGGAACTGGGAGTTTCCATTTAAATTCAATTTAACTGTAAATAAAATTTAAAGACTCAAGAAATTGAAACATTTTCCCTTGGCTCTAGCTTGATTGGTGTTTGCATATCGTTCGCTGCAAAAGTCCTCAGGAACGCAAATAGGATACCTGGTGAATCAGCCAGAGCCATGGCATGATGTCTCCCTCGCTGGAGCTCCAATCGAGGAATCCAACCCTACCAACCGCCCTGCATATGTTGACTTTGGTCCTCCCCAAATTTGACAGATAATTTCCTTTCGCTCCCGAGTTTGACTTTTTCTTATTAATGCGCAGCCATAAGCCATTCTTAATATAGATTTCTGCGTTTAACTTCGCTTACTACCTCCTCTTGATGCAAATTTTGTGGATGAGAGACCAACCAACTGTAGCAGTTAATGTTAGGGCAGTGAAGACACTTGCATGTAGTTGATTTTACTGATCTATCAAATTTGTTTTAAAAGAAATCATTTTTATTTTATGTTAGATTTTTCGAAACCATTTTATAGAATTATGTAGGCATCTCCCTTATTAAATGCAGTGCACAGCATAGCATTAAGAGAGAATTTTGTTAATCCTGCATATCCCCTTTAATCTTTCTCAATAGATTATTAAATAATTAATGAAGCGGATGTTTGTCTAAATACTACGCTAGGGTTGCTGGAAATACAAGCGGTGAACGTTTCGCTAAAACCATTGTGCTTGTAATTATAAAGATGATAAAATCGAACTAAGGAATAAAAATAATAAATTTACAGCGAGGGATAAAGAGGTAGGTGTTGATGGCAATACAAACAGAGGGACACAAGTATGTGAAAGAGAATTAAATAGCTTTGCCCTTATTTAAGGATGCAAAAAAGTGAGATATTACACATGGAGACAGTAAGAAGGGAATAATGCAAAATTGTAGGTTGAATAATGGTAAGACATCAGGCCAGATTATACGATTCTTTGAGTTATGGCAGTTTGGTTGGATGTTAGCAAATTTTCGTTTCTCTGCTTGATTGTATCTTGTTGTTACGTACATCATTTTTGTAAACCTGTCAGGAATACGGTTAGGCAAGGAACAGGGAAGAAAGTGGATGTATTACTTTCCAGTCCAAACGATCACTTTTCCACATATGAAGGAAATGCTTACCTCATAGGCTAATGTGAAGAGGTTGGGAATGCCGGACAGGAAGCATTGCGGGCTCTTCCTGTATGGCAGTGTTCAGATGAGAGATGATTAAATCTAAACTAGCTGAGAATAAGACAGTAAGGAGGGAAGTAAAGACAGAAATGGAAAGAAGTGAATTTCTTCAAAAAATATTCAAGAAGTAAAACCAGTAAGTCCCGACTCCATTTAAAACACAGTGCTAGCCTCTCTTCCAAGCCAATATCTGCAAGGGTAAACCATTTATAGACCTGGTTTTGTAAAATTTTTCCTGTATAAATTACTTAGAATTTGTCTCCACAAAAGAAAAGGGGGAAGTGGAGGAGGAAGCAGCGCACTCGCCATTTTTAGTAGTAAACGTTTACTCTGGAAAGGAAGGAGATCCTCATTAGGATAGCGGTGAGCAAAAAAGAAAAAAAGAAAGAAAGAGAGTCGTTTGATATCTGCGTAATGCTACAGGATCTGGTTATAAACAGGGCCCAGCAATAAACCCATCAGTGAAAGATGAAGAGGGCAACTAAAGTTGCATGAAGAGATGTTAACAGAAGAGAAAAAGTAATTTAATTCAAAATTACACGGCCATAGGTACTCTTGGGGTGAAGGTAAATTAGAATAAAAGCTAAAAGCAAAATAATAAAGGAAGTATATAGGCTACCTTAAGTAAATGAGATAAAGGTGGAAAGGCAGCTTGTGTGGGTGCTATCAAGAACTGCTATTAGCATTTGCTGGGCTGTGTAAACAAATATTGGAGATCCATTTTTACCATAAAAGTGATGAGAAACATTGTTAAATTGACCAAGAGACAGAGAATCACCATCCTCACACTGAAATTCCCCAAAACATTTTTTAACAATGAGCTACAGAAACTGGTTAGGGAAGGCAGAATTCTATTTGTGGCACAGACAGCTAGCTAGTAGCACACCCAAATTGTTGGTATCCTTTCATAGTATAAAGTGGCTGCTGGGAAATAATGTCTAGCAAAACTACATTTCTCCAGGGTCCATTTTTTCTGACCTGTGCACACCTGCTGCACCCCTATATCTAGCAAACATGAATGTCAATGGAATTACATGAGTTACTGTCAGGTGACAAAAATTCTCTCCTTCACCAAACCCAGCTCAGCTTACTCTGAACTCTCTTGACAACTAGGTCCTGACTTCTGGGTTGCCATGTTCATCTCATCTCTGCATTGTCCAATTTTAGCAAGAATCTTGTTCAATTTAGCCATAATCCTCCATTCTCAATATCTGATCACCATAAATATAATGATCACCTCTACCATGCCTCAAGTGATGTCTAATCACCCTGGTCTGCCTTCACCAAGAATCCTATTAGGTCAGTGCTATGGTTTTGACATTTGACCCCTCCAAATCTCAAGTTGCAATTTGATCCTCAATGTTGGAAATGGGGCCTAATGGCAGGTGTCTGGGTCACAGGGATGGATCCCTCATGAATAGACTGATGCAGGGGGTTGCGGGTGGTGAATGAGTTCTCGCTCTATTCATTCCTGTGAGAGCTGGTTGTTAAAAAGAGACTGGCACCACCACCCCCTTGTTTCCTCCCTTGCCACGTAAAGCTCTGCACACACCAGCTCCTGCTTTGCTTTCCATCATGTGTAAGCTTCCTGAAGTCCTCATCATAACCAGATGCTGGCATCATGCTTCTTGTACAACCTGCAGAATCATGAGCCAAATAAAGCCCTTTTCTTATAAATTACCCAGCCTGAAGTATTCTTTTATAGCAACACAAAACAAACCAAGGCAGTTTAACCAGAATTCCTTCTTAACCTTTACGTTTCCAGCTTAGTAATTTTCCATCCACTAACCACTGCACCCTGCTCCACAGCTATAAATTCCCATTTTTACTTGTATTCAGAGTTGAGCCCAGTGTTTCTTTCCTACTGCTCTCTCTGTGGAGAACTGAAAAATATTTGATGAAGGTTGACCACTACTTTCACATTAAGTATTTGACATTATTTTTTCCTGAGAAAAAGCTAGAAGACCTACAGCTCTTCCTTTCATTTCCTCATATATAAGGCAGGACACCTAGGAATGCAGGCAATCAATGAAAACATCCAAACAAGTAGATAAAATAGGTAAATGATTATAAATTGTTAGGCATGCTAAAAACAAAACTTTTAAAATCTGTAATTGTGTCACTTATAATTTGTATCAATTTTGTTTCAGTAGTGAGTTGAAGTAATCTCCAACTAAATAGTAATGAAGACTCTATAGTCCTGTGGATCCTAAAAAAAAGTTAAAATAATTTGTATTTGTTCAGACTTTTAAATATGAATTTTTCTAGTTGTGCAAGTAGCTATTTCTCATAGGGTCAAATAATTTAAAGGAAGTTATTTCTATTTTGTTAAGGTAAAGAAATAACAGCATGTAACTGAATGCTTCAGGTTTCCCTTTTAATATATAGTATATTTATGTACTTAAGGAAAATACCTATGCTGGGCTAGAACACAAACCTGGAAGTTTGCCACAACAGAAAGTCCTAAACAACTCAGTATTCCAAGTACAAGGCCAGCCTTGTTTAATTTGATGATAACGTTCTCTTCAGGACTCAGAGCATGAACTTGCTTATAACGAACATAAATGGTAGCAATGCCTGGGAAAAGATAATCCAAAAAACAACAAAGTAATAAATAACCAAGAAATAAAGTTGCCAATGAAGAGTTCACAAATGTCACTGCTATCCAGAATCACAGATTTTCCTTTTAAAATTAACCAGAGAGAATAAAAAGAAAAAAACAAAAAACAAAATAGCTGTAGTTTTGTTTTTGCTTTTAAGAGATGGGGGTCTCTCTATGTTGCAGAGGCTGGACTCCAACTCCTGACCTCAAGTGATCCATTGGACTCAGCCTCCCAGATAGTTGGGACTGTAGGCACATACCTGTGTGCCTGGCTCATGCTGTGGATGTTGGAGAGCCTTAAGGTTGTATTATAGAACTACTGATGTCTCCAGTGACTAAGCAAATCATTTGCCTTCCATGGGTCTCATATTTACAAATAGTTATATAAAACACAACATATTTTTATGATTAACATCAGAATCAGAAGTAACTAGTTCTAGAATATAGATAAAATGGGCATAGGCAAAAAACCCAAAAGCTTATTTGTGTCACTCTCATATCATTTTATTTCAAATTACAACTTGGCTCAATAAGATATAGCAGCCAATTACACAGGGGGAAAAGCCCACCTTACCATATTTATCAGTCAAGGACTAGCTAAATCAAATTTTCCACTGCAGAAATATCGTCAGAGAATTCAACAGTGTAGAAAGCATTACAGAGATACGCTGGTAAAGACGTGTTTCTAAAGAGTTTGGGCATGAGACGAACTTCTTTAAGTTGAATTATCTTCCTGATTTCCATTTTTGACCCAAGCAAATAATAAGCATCATACAGAAGAATGCAAATATTTACAACAATCACACTTGATGGAAAAATATGTGAGTAAACCATTAATAAAAATTTGGTTCAAAATAAACAGGGCCATGAAATACTTCAGTAGCAACTCTATCCCTTTAGCATTAGAATGTTGCTCAAAAATCAAAACATGGTTCCATCTTTATTCTCAAACACCTAAACTGCTTATCCCAAAGGAATTTAGTTAGGATTAGTTGTGGTCAGTTGCATCCACAACTCTTTGTTCCTTACTGGTTGCTTAAGAAGTCCACTACAGTCCTGAAGGAATATATGGTTATACTTAACAACTTCCATTTGAATGAATAGTAGAATAATCCTATACATATTTTTTAAAGGTTTATTCCCATAAGTCAACATTTCTAGAAAAGTGTTTATCTTTTAAAAGGAGCATAATTATGATCAATTATTTAGTGATAATATACTCTCAAATATAACTAGAAAGTAAAACAAGTAACACTCCAGTGTTGAAAGAAGAAAATACAGTAGCAATTTGGCTATTAAGTATTATTGTTAAAATCACTTTCAATACTTACATAAAACTGCCGCGATATTTAGCATTGCCCCAAATAAGCATTTTTCTGGAGCCAGTGTACCAGTGTCACTGAAAGAAAAAAAGGAAGATATGTGCATTTCTCACACTAGATAGACACATATATTTCTTCTAAGGGATAAGAATACCAGGAGTTACTTCAAACCTCTTATCTTTTATAAGTCCATGAGTTCAACTCATATCATTTTACACAGAGAACATGACAATTTGAGTTCACAAATATCTGCCTACTTCACTTTCTACTCACATCATTTTTAAGATTATTTCTCTTCCACATAGTAGAAATCAATATATACTGATTTTTAAAAAGCTATCCTTGATATGTTAAGACTATGTTATTGACCGACCATCATTCAGGCAGATGAATTTATCTGTCCCACCAGAATATTCCTTAAACACCACAGGCTTTTCACAACTCTGCCTTTTTGCACCTTTTGTTGACTATGCCTGTATTCAATTAACACCTATTAACCTACTGATCAATTTTTAAAAGTATTATCAAGTACTTACCATGTGCCAGACACCATTTCAGAAACGGGAACACAGTGATAAGTAAAATAGACAAAGCCCCTGCCCTCGCAGAGCTTACATTCAAGACCAGTTTTGAGTCTCTTCCCCTCTATAACCTTGGATGACTCCTCTAGCAGATAATGACTCACACAGCATGCTTTCTGAACTTCCATAAACTCACTTACCACACAGCATTGCAATGTATCCACTTACATGCCTGTCTTTCAGGGCAGTATGCAACATACCCAGGCAGATTAAAACCCCACCACTTACTTACTGCAGGACCTTAGGTTCATCCTTTTATCTCCCTAAAACTGTTCCCTTCATTTGCAAAATGGGGCTATTCATTCCCTCCCAGCTTCATCATATCACTATAAGGATGAAATGTAACGGTAATGCATGTTAAGTATCTAGCACAGTAGCAGGCTCATGGGAGATACCCATTAAATATTAGTTCTTTTCCCCTTCTTAAAACTACTACAAAGATTAAAAAGACAATGTCTTTGGCCTTGAATTGACATACTATAGGAAAGAGATAATCAGGGTTTCAACTAAGACAATGCAATGGGGATAAAAAAGAAATAGAAAGTTATAGCTGGTAAGAAGCCATAACATTTAGTAAACATTTAGATTAGGGGTGTTAGGAAATGGAAAATATTAAACATGAATTGTAAGGATTGCTCCTTCTAACTTTACAATTCCGTGAGTCTTTCTCTTAAAAAAAAAATAAAAATCTGCAGTGAAAATAGAGAAACAAAAAATAATGTATTTGTAAAGAAACAATTATAAAATAACAAAACGGATCTTTTACATACAAAAGATTTTGGTACTTTGACCATCTTCAGGAGGAGGGAATAAAAAAGTAGAAGTTCCTTCCACTTTTCAAATTTTCCACAATATATATGTATTATTCTTAGAAAAAAGAAATCCATAATTTTCATAGATATACTTCAAATGGTACATGTAAGTTAACAAAGGCATGCATTTCCAGGATGGCTGGCTAAGAGTGTTTCTTCCTTTGGCTCAGGACAGAATGACAAACACTGGCCTACAAATGAAAACAGCCATGCCCATCACCTCATTATCACAGCACTTCATCTCAGTGGTCACAGCATCACCAAAAAATGTCTGACCTTCTAACATCAAAATATATGTTATCATTATTGTATATGTTAAATATTGGCAAAGTTTAAATGTTTTTAGATTAAAAATATACATAGATGTTGTAATATTTCTTCTCTTACCCCAGTGGCTAGTCATTCCCTTGGGCATCCACTACTTGAACCAACTAAGAGAACACCTGAAGCACACTTATAGCAAAATTGCCTTTGAAGTGAAATTTACATTTGGTTATGTCCACTGGGGCTGTTAACAGCTAAACTTTTTTTTTTTTTTTTTTGAGACAGAGTCTCGCTCTGTTGCCCAGGCTAACAGCTAAACCTTTTGGGTAGGATCTATGAACTGAAAAGAATTTTGCAGACTAGCTAGTTTAATCATTTTGCAGATGAAGGAAATGAGCCTACAAGAAATAAAAATAAGTACTAGAGTTTAAATATGTATGTCAGAAAGTTGGAGAAAGACCTCAGGGTAATACTAAGTTCAACAGCAGAAAAATTAAAAAGCTGAAGGGGCAGAACAGAAAAGGATGTGCCTAGGGTGCTTTTTAAAGAAAATCACATGCAGTACCATCAAGGAAGTGAAACTCTGAAAAAGAACTAAGTGGCATTTTATATTACAGTAGTCCCTTGGTATCTGTGGGGGACTGGTTCCAGGACCCCCATCAGATAACAAAACCTGGGGATGCTCAAGTCTCTTACATAAAATGGTGTAGTATTTGCATATAACCTATGCACATCTTCCCATATGCTTTAAATCATTATAACATCTAATACACAACACTTCATTCCTGTGGATTCAACAAAGTACTTGGCACTTGGCAAACTCAAGTTTTGGAACCTGATGGAATTTCTGCAGAATATTTTCAGATGTATAGAAGTGGAACTACGGATATGGAGGGCTGGCTGTACTAAAAGTTCTTCAAAATGAAAGCAGACAAGTTCTCAGATGGAGAAAAAAAATACTGTGAAAGACCCTCATAAATGTTAAATATGTACCTTCTGGAGTTACTAAAGAATGGTGTGGCTCCTTAGGCTACATATTCCACTAGCAGAGTGGTAATTATTTATCAAATTATTCCTCGAAATGGAAGCTTAAATTCTAAAACATTTTTGGGTTTTGTAAATCTTCCCAAACTGCATCCAATTTGTTTATATCTTTTGTGCCAAGCCATACCACTGCAGAAACAACATGTAAATAGTAATGTCCAGATCTTTTCTTGACATTTTTAAAAGATAAATTTAACCTTCCAATTTATCATTCTTTAAAAGATTACTATTTTCTGTGATGGAAAGGTTATTTTTCTGAAGGTAAACAAATAAATGAAACAACCACAACAACAACAAAACAAAAAATATTACTTAACAATAGCAACAAAATCTGGCATCTCTATGAAGAGACCGATGTTTCAAAAGCATCATATAGAGGTTGAATACTTTCAGGGGCGGACCTAACTATATTCCATGTGAAATCATCTAGATTAAAACCCACTAGTAGTTGCTTAATCATATTTAATAACAATGTTTTAATAATTATGCTTTCTTCATCTCTCTGCCCTATGCAATTTATTTACCTTTTATAGAGAAATTTAAGCCTCAATAGCTCAGAAACCATGTATATGATTATGATTTCCTCATATCCTTTTTGTGAATGTATAAATAGATGCAATACTTTTAAAAGCATGTCTAGAAATGTCAAATGAAAAATGTAGATGCCCTATTACCTATCTAGCAATCTCACTTCTAGAAATCTACCTCACATCAATATCAGTATGTAAAGTTATATGTAATAAAACCTTCATTATAGCACTGTTTGTAACAGCCAAAAAAAGGGAAGAAAGAATAAGTAAGCAATTTCTGTCAACATCCTATCACTTTTTACAAACGAAACAAAATTAAAAACCCAAAAAAGTGAGAAAGGAGGAGAAAAAAAAGAGAGAGTTTTGTACATACAGGATAATAAGATAAAACAAACCAAACTCTGGAAGGAAATCTACCAAACTATGAATTGTCTCTAGGGTATAGAAATTGGAGGGTGTCAGGAAGGGATTTTTGCTTTTCATTTTTATAATCACTCTGGTATTATTTAAAATTTGTTGTAATAATTACTGCCATTGCAATTTTAAAAAAAGAGGGTTATTATAGCTTCTTGGCCTTTTGGCTAAGATCAAGTGTAAAAAAAGAGCATATGCAACTGACTATCCCTTCTTCATTCATTGTGAGATTTCAAAAATGTTATCGATCAGTTTTGATACTTAATACGTCAAAAATATCTAGGCAGCATAAAGAGTAAGAGCCTAGCTTCTAGAGTCAAACTGTCCAGGTTTAATTCTTGGTTCCAACACTAACTGAGTTGTATGTTCATGAGCAAATAACTTGACCTCTCTGGACCTCATTTCCTTCTCTCTCAAATGAGAATCATAGTTCCTATCTTATCCAGTTGTTGTAAGGATTCAACTATTTAGGACATGAAGAATGCTTAGAAAATTACTTTCTACGAGGCTGGGTGCAGAGGCTCATGCCTGCAATCCCAGCACTTTGGGAGGCCAAGGCGGGCGGATCACGAGGTCAGAAGTTCAAGACTAGCCTGACCAACATTGTGAAACCCCGACTCCACTAAAAATACAAAAGTTAGTCGGGCGTGGTGGCGTATGCCTGTAATCCCAGTGACTCAAGAGGCTGAGACAGGGGAATCACTTGAACCTGGGAGGCGGACGTTGCAGTGAACCGAGACTATGCCACTGTATTCCAACCTGGGCAACAGAGTGAGACTCCATGTCAAAAAAAGAGAAAAAAAAAAAAAAAAAAAAAAACACAAAGTTTTGGGCATGGTGGTTCACACCTGTTAATCCCAGCACCTTGGGAGGCTGAGACGGGTGGATCATGAAGTCAGGAGTTCAAGACCAGCCTGACCAACATCGTGAAACCCCATCTCTACTAAAAATACAAAAAATAAAAAAAATTAGCTGGGCGTAATGGTACATGCCTGTAATTCCAGCTACTCAGGAGTCTGAGGCAGAAGAATTGCTTGAACCCAGGAGGCGGAGGTTGCAGTGAGCTGAGATTGCGCCACTGCACTCCAGCCTGGGCAACAGAGCAAGATTCCATCTCCAAAAAAAAAAAAAAAGAAAATTACTTCATATGTAGTAAGTATATCAAGAAATGCTTGTTGTTTCCATTATCTTTTCATATTATTATTATTATTGTTTGTAGCTTTTTTTTTTACTTTAAGGGGAGAATAATTCCAATTCTATATTCTGAAATAACTTCAAATACTTACTTAGAAAACAAGGCACTAAGGAGTCACAGTTCAATAACCAGTTCACAAACTGAATCTTACTGAGCTGTCTCTACATTTATCACAAAGGAAAAGCCAAATTTAAGTTCCTTTATATATTTTCTTTATTGTTGCAATGCCAGTGTAAAATCTGATTTTTAAAAGGTTGACATTAAATGTCGGCTTCAATGTTAAAATAAGAATGAGACATAAAGAGTCTCCTATCTAAAGAATACATTTCACTTACCTGATATAAGGTAAAGCTGGGTCTATATGGTGGAGTGTTACCGCAGTAATGTATGAAAATATGAAAGCAGCAGATGTCCAAATTACAAGAGCTGAAGGAAGGAAACTTAGGCCTTGCTGAAACCACCACATTTCAAACAGGTTTTCTGAAATAGAAAAAACATATTAGAAAATTCACAAGGGTTTCCTCATCCTACTTTAGCCATCCACACCCCACAGCCTTGTATTTACCACCCCAAGCTGTTTCATCTCTGAAATCATCCCTCATGCCATACCCTAACACTCGCTCTCCTTCCCTTTCTTAGTGAGTGGAACCAAGATTCACCTACTTGACATAGCTAGACACCTGCTTTCTTGTCCCATCTTCCCATGGAAAGTACCAAGGACTGTTTATACTACCTCCTAAATTTATTTCAAATCTACCCTTTTTCTCCATCTTCACTGTCATTACTTTACCCAAACCACCATCATCTCTTGGTCGATTATAACTTCCTAAGGGGTACCTGTGATATTGTGAAATATATATGTATTTGGTCTTCATCCCATTTCCTGGCAAAAAGCTCTTAAAAACGCTTGGAATCTCCAGGGTAATAGGAGTGTCTTCTATATACTAATAAGGCTTGCAGTTCATAGATAGTTTTAGGATGGGAGCTGGTCACAGGAAAGACCAAGGCATAATTACAGGGTTGGATATTTAGTCCTCCATCCCCAATTCCAGGAAGGCAGAGAGAGAGGATGACAGTTAAGTTGATCGTGCCTGTGTAACCCATAAAAACCCAAAAGGACTGGGTTGAGAGAACTTCTAGATAGCCAAGTATGCGGAGATTCCTGAAGGATGGCATACCCAGAGAGGGTGCAGAAGCTCCGTACCCCTTTCCGTATCCCTTGCCTTGTGCGTCTGGTAAATATAAGCGTTTCTCTGAGTTCTGTGAACCACTCTAGCAAATTAATCAAACACAAGGAGTGGTTAGTGGGAACCTTGGTTTATAGCCAGTCAGTTAGAAACATGGGTAAGACAACCCAGGCTTGTGATTGGTGTCAGAAGTTGGGAGGTAGTCTAGTGGGACTGGGCCCTCAACCTGTGCAATCTGATGCTATCTCTAGGTAGATACCATCAGATTTGAATTAGGGGACATCCAATTGGTGTCGGCTGGTGGAGAGAAATCTCCATACTTCTTGATGATCACAGAAGTATTGTGTTGATTATTGAGTGAGAGAACAGGAAAAACACTTTGGTTGGTTTTTCTTCCTCTTTTTTTTTTGAGACAAGGCCTCACTCTGTTGCCCAGGCTGAAGTGCAGTGGTGCAATCACAGCTAACAGCAGCCTTGACCTCCCTGGCTCAAGTGATCCTCCCACCTCAGCCTCCCAAGTAGCTGAGACCACAAGTATGCACCACCATGCCCAGCTAACTTTGTTATTTGTAGAGATGAGGTCTCATTATGCTGCCCAGGCTGGTATCAAACTCCTGGGCTCAAGAAATCCTCCCACTTCAGCCTCCCAAACTGCTGGAATTATAAGTATGAGCCACCCAGTCCAGCCTAGTTTTTCTATTATTACTCAGTCCTCCTCCAGTCTTGACCAAACCAATCTAGACTCCATTCTAAAACCAAAGTAATCCTTCTAATTTCAAAATACCAATCTGATCACCTTATTCTCCTACAATGGTTTCCCCTATACCCTTAGTCTTTCCTCCTTAACATGGTCCATAATATGTCCTTGCATCGTCTATCTTTACTTATTTTTTTTTTTTTTTTTTTGAGCCAGAGTGTCACCGTGACACCCAGGCTAAAGTGCAATGGCGCAATCTCGGCTCACTGCAACCTCAGCCTGCCAGGTACAAGATTCTCCTGCCTCAGCCTCCTGTGTAGCTGGGATTACAGGCGTCTGCCACTATGTCCAGCTAATTTTTGTATTTTTAGTAGAGATGGGGTTTCACCACATTGGCCAGGCTGGTCTTGAATTCCTGACCTCAAGTGATCCACCTGCCTTGGTCTCCCAAAGTGCTGGGATTATAGGTATGAGCCACCGTGCATGGCCTGTCTTTACTTATCTTTCTATATTCACCTCTGGCCATGCTTGGTTCTCAATTCTTTGCTCTAGCTATCATTATCTCATCATTATTATAAAAGCAAACACCTAGCATTTACTATGCCTTACCAGTGTTTACTAAACACCTTAAATACATGAAATAACATACTTTCCTCAACAGAATTACAGAGGTTAAGACAACTGCCCAAGGTCATAGAGCTGGATGTGGTGGAGACAGGATTCGAACTCAAGCAATTTGATTCTAATGCCCAATCAACTATGCCACACTGCCACAGCTATTTCTTGCAGATCTTCAAATGTGTCATGCTCTCCAGCACACCTTCAGACCTTCATGGTGACTACAACACTACCTACCCAGTTAACTTTTATGTGTTTTTCAAGGCTCAATCTTTCCAGCTTCAGTTGAGTGTCCCTGCTTTGTTTTTAACAGCACCCTTTACTTCCCCAACCAGAGCACTCATTACATTTAACTTGCTTGTTTGGTTTTCGCTTCCTCACTAAACTTTAAGTTCTGTGAGAGCAGGAAACAACTGTTGTGTTCACTATTATATTTCCAGCTCTTACATGGGGGCGGCGGGAGTGGGGGCAGAGACAGAGGGCCTAAATACCCTCATACCACACATCACCACTTTCTTCCTTGAATTCCAGACTAAGGATGTTATTAAGTAATAATGAGTCAACGATGTGAATTAAGAAACATTGGAACAACTTCATGCTTTTAATTTTTTTAATTTAATTTTTTAAAATATAGGAATGCTTTTAAATTAGAATACTCCTATGTATGTGAGAAAAATTTCATGTTTGAAGGTGTATCTTCTCATATTTTTTGATGACCTAAAGAAATTTAGTGTTTCCCATGAACTTTGTGAATACTTATAGCTTCCTCATCTGAGACTGACTTTCCAAAGAATGAAATCTCAGCCATTTTTGATTCGTATTTGTCATTTACTCTGGCCATCTGATTTGTTGCTAAATATATACACTTGCATTTCATAATCTTCTCTTTTCTCTTCCTTTTTCCTTGTCAGTCCTTAACATCCCATCAATATCTTTTTTCTTCATCTATTCAGTTAATCATGACAAGTCCTTGCCAAAATCCTATTGGTGCTTTCGCCTGTATAGGTTTCCAGGACAAGAGTTCTTAATTTACATAATTTTGAGTCATTTCTAAGATCTTTAAATTTTTCATTTTTCATCTCTTTAAATGTTAATTTCTGTTTCTGATCATTCCCATAAATCCTTAGGCGTCTATGTCAGTTTAGCTGTCCCTTGTACATGTTTTACAGTTTTTGACTCTGAGCCTATATTGGACAATCTTAAAATCTGGAAGTATCCTAAAAGGCTTAACTAAGGGTGAGTCATTACAGAGAGGATCCGTATTTGTTTTTTCCAGAGAGTATAGCACATCAGCAACCCGGGCCAACTTTATGTTAATTTCTTGGCTTCTGGTTTTTCAGACCGTGTAGGTATGTAAATTTGAACTTTTTGACTATGACTGATGGCATACCCTCCAGTTTCAAGTTTTCAGGTGGTATCTTTATTCCCCCACCTGGAGCTGTGATGAAAATGAACAAATTTCTTTGTGACCTCCCTTTGCCAGGAGGGAGAGATTTTTCTGGCCCACCTATGACTGAGTGTGTAGACTTTTGTGGGTCCTGGCTGAAGTTGGGGGAAGGTGCTTCTCCAATACCATGAGTTGTACAATTTCAAGTGGAAATACTTAAACTTTATTCTATGAAAACATCACCCACTGAAACACAGGTACCATTTACACCAACTACCATGGAATGGCACCCATTGGAGCTATGTGCCTGGGAGGTTACAGGGGTATGAATTCTATCTCTCTGCTTTGGGTAGAGAGCAGCCTGTCACCTGTCCCCGATTGTGCTTTACTTCTGCCATCAGCCAAATGCCCACAAAGGAAATACACTGCTAGTACACTACTCTAGTTTCGGCTTTTTTTTTTTTAACTTTTTAGCCCTGGAGATTTCTCTGTCTTTCGTAGAAGACCTGTCATGAATTTAATGAGCTAATTTATTCAGCATGTTGGTGTACTGGTAAAAGGGATTTTCAAATATTTTGTCCACCTCATTGCTAGTAGCAAAATCTCCTGCCCCTTTGTTGTTTTACATGTCTAAATCCTTCCTTTTCTTCAAAAGTTCAAATGCTATCTTCCACAGACAACTTTACCTAAGCCCTTTGTAGACAGAAATAAGCACCCCTTTCTCCGAGAACATTTGATTTTCACATCTTTCAGAGCTCATTATCTTCTATAGTATGAAAATTGAGGATGGTGTCTTAAGGGAATAAAATCTTTCCACTTCTCTACCTAAGCAGAGCAGAGGACCTTACCCATAGTAATCATTCAATTATGTGTTGAATGAACAGCCAAAGCAAAATCCTTTTAATTCCCAAAACTGTTTATGATTTTTCTATTTCAGTAAACAACATTACCATTTTTTTCAGGTTATGACGATTCTAAGACTTCAGAGGAATCTTAAGGTCTCTCTTATAAAGTCCTCACATGCTGTCACCAAGTGAGGGCAATTGTATTTCTACAAGTCATTTAAACCATTCTTCTTCTCAGTTCACACTGTACCTATGTGATTCTGACTTTCAATTCTCTTGCCCTATGTGCTTTTTCCTTCCCCTTCACCCATTCCACTTGCATTACCGAATTAACATTCCTAAAGTATTCCTCTCCTCAAAACTGTTTTTTTAAATAAAATTGTGTGAACTTGAGCAGGTTTCATAACTTGTCTGAACCAGTTTCTCCTTTGAAAAATGGAATAATGTGAGGCAGGGTGCGGTGGCTCACACCTGTAATCCCGCACTTTAGGAGGCTGAGGTGGGCAGATCATGAGGTCAGGAGTTCAAGACTAGCCTGGCCAGCATGGTGAAACCCCGTCTCTACTAAAAATACAAAAATTACCCAGGCATGGTGGCATACACCTGTAATTCCAGCTATGCGGGAGGCTGAAGTAGGAGAATGGAGGCTGAGGTAGGAGAATCACTTGACCCTGGGAAGCAGAGGTTGCAGTGAGCCGAGATTGCACCACTGCACTCCAGCCTGGGCGACAGAGTGAGACTCCATCTCGAAAAAAGAAAAATGGAATAACGGAATAACGTTAAGGTTATCGGCACAGATTGTACCAGCTGATATAGCAACCACTGCTACATGTAACTATTGAAATTAACATCTCAATAGATTAAAATTAAATAAAAGTTTTAATTCCTTAGTCACACTAGCCACATTTCATATGCTCAAAAGCCACATGTCATCATCCTGGCCAACATGGTGAAACCCCATTTCTACTAAAAATACAAAAAATTAGCCAGGTGTGGTGGCAGGCACCTGTAGTCCCAGCTACTTGGGAGGCTGAGGCAGGAGAATCACTTGAACCCGGGAGACAGAGGTTGCAGTGAGCGGAGATCACGCCACTGCACTCCAGCCTGGCGACAGAGCCAGACTCCGCCTCAAAAAAAAAAAAAAGAAAAGAAAAAAAGCCACACGTCTAGTGGCTACCATTCAAGACAGTAAAAATTTAGAACATTTCCAAGATTGTGGAAAAGTTCTACTGGACTGTGCTGAGTAGTTTTCGTACAGCTTATACTGATAGCACAAGCAAAGAACCTAACACATTGCTGGTGCATAATAAATGGTAGCTTTCAATATTATCTGTTAAATAGTATAAAATAATACCCAGTTCATAGAGGTTTATTCAACGATTAAATAAGATATGTATTTTCAGAGATGATCAGTATATACTTGTTCCTCTTATAATGTGAAAAATGAATTACCTGTTTTACAAGTTCACAAAATGTTAGTCTTCAGATCTGCTCATACCTGCACCTTTTGTAAGTCCTAAAATCCACAAAGAAAATAGGAAGTTTTTCTCTCAATCCAAATAATTTTAAACACGTACAGTTTTAAGTTAACACACCATATTGTTCACGGGCAGAATACTAGGCTATAGCATTGTTAACAGGTTCTTTTTCTTTAAAGAGTTGACACTTGAGTTTTTTACAATGATGTTGTACCATCTGGAATTAAATAACGTTTTAATTCTAGGATATCAATTTTCATATGCATTCTCACATCCAACACCTTCACTATCTTAAAGAGGATAAAAGAAAAATCATTGACTCCTCCTATAGAGAGACAACATGAGGAAAAAAATAATAGATTAAACAAAATAAAGCAATTGCAAATCCATGTGATATAAAGAACACAGCTGTGAGATGAGATTTCTCCAACTGCAAGTCCTGCCTTTACTACTGCCCAACTCTGTGATTTCAGGCAATTTACTTAGCTTCTGAGTTACAGTACTCAAAGAGTTGTTCCTTGGAGTGGAGTAGAATAAGCACACAATAATGATAGCTGATTTATTAATTATGTAGTTATAAGGCCACAGGTATGGAGTACAACTTCTCTGTATGAATTTTTTCTATGTATGAATTATCTTGGATTTGTATCTCCTTAGGCTTTGAGAGTCCTAGTTGTTTAAACTGACAATTTAGAGAGAAGCAGGGCTTGAAATAAATGGTTTACCAGTTTGCGAATGACAACTGAGGAATTTAAATGCGTGGACTAGTTGAGGAAGACTAATTGTCAATGTGTTTTTGCCTTTGAAACCCGAAAGCATTGCTGAGTAATTGTCAACCAAACAAAATTAGAATTTTAATGATTCATAATTTAAAAAACCTTTCA